AAATGACCAATCACATATTATTGCTAACCCTTGAGATATAGGCAAGAAGAATGTATCCACCTCTTGTGATGATTTATTAGCTATGACATGCTCTTCATATATAGACGCTTGTTCTACTTCTATGTCTTGTGAGACTAACCTTTTGAAGGAGAACAATGAGCTCAAAAGTGAAGTGAAGAATTTGAGCAACAAGTTAGAGAGGTGCTACAACTCTTAAGTCACCTTTGAGCATATGTTGAACAATAAAATAAGCTATGGTGACATGAGTGGCATTGGATTCAACAAGAGGAAGATCAAAGGCAAGAGATGGGGCAAGAAAAGATATGAAAGAGAAATGAAGAATCAAGAACAAGAAAAGCTCTCTCATTTCATGTGCTTCAAATGTCATGAAGTGGGACATCTTGCAAATAGTTGTCCAAATAAAGAAAAGCTCAAGTTAAAGAAAGAAGAAGAGAGGCTCAAGCATGTCAAGTGCTTCAAATGCCGCACATGAGGTCATCTTACCTCTATGTGCCCAACCAAGCAAGTGGTGAAGCAACAAGAAGAACCTCGATCAAAGCCACAAGTAGAGCAAGAAGAAACACCTCAAGAGCAAATCAAGATCAACCATGAAGATGGTGGTGACTTGATGAAGAAGAAGAAGAAAACAAGAAGGGGTGGAAGAGCAAGGCATCTAATGCAAAATCAAGATGCCAAGATGATGAGCAAGGCTCAAGATGAGAAGAAGGTGTATGCTCACATCAAGTGCTTTAAGTGTGAAGATATGGGACATTTTGCCTCGAGGTGTCCTACCAAGCTTGAGAAGAAGGCTCAAGCAACTCATGAGAGGCAAGGCAATGAGAAGCACCACTTGAGCAAGGAAGAGAAGACTCAATTAAAGAGAAAGTGCTACTTATGCCGGGAAAGGGGACACATGGCACATTCATGTCCCCTAGGTAATAATTCTAAGTCCATTTCAATTGACGATGATCTTGTGCTTAGAAAGAATGGCAATGATACCTGATTGGTTGCAATTGCAAAACATCCCGCTACTCATACTAAGGCAATCCTAAGTATATTGCTCCTAACTTGTGAGGACCAAAACTTGTTTGGGTACCATCAAAAAGTGAATGAATGTTTGTAGGTACCATGGCATTGGAGATTTAATGGGTTTCTTAATGTTCATCATGTATTGAATCAAGTTATGAAGCTTAGTGCATATCCAAACCCAATGCCAAGTGAAAATTGAGTGAAGTTCAAGTGTTACAACATACAAGTGCTCTAAATTTAAGTTGTGGTGATTTATTGGAAATGTTCGATGGCTTGTATATTTGAGTTGAAGCTTGCTAGTGGATGATCATGAGCTATAAAGGTATATCTCTAGTTGGTCTATTTTATTTGGGTACATATAAGTTGATTAAATTGGATATATATGCATATGTTGCTTGCTATAAGGTGTTTGAATGGATAAATGCTTAGCAATCAAATTTGAGTTGGTTTAAATGGATAAATTAATAAGATGACTTTTAGTAAGTTGATTGAATGGATATATGTCTTGTGAAAGTATTCAAACAAGTTGATTTCAAGTTTGATTCAATTTGATAAAGTATTGCTCAAGTGATTGAAATCTATCCTATATTATAAAATCTGAGTGAGCTGTGATATTAGCCATATTTGAGTGATCAAATCTATTTGGATTGTCTTAAAATTTGGTATGCATACTCTAGACTTATGGTATAAGATGCTGTACAAATTTCATGAGAATTGTATAAGAGATGCTTTGGTTTTGGAGTAGATCTTGTCAGCTATAGTGCAGCAGTTTTCAGCATGTAGCAGTGGTGGAAGAATTGAAATCTGGTAGCAATCTAGAAGTCAAATGAAGCCTAAATTTTTACAGATTATATATGACTTAGTGAACCACATCTTCACCAAATTTCATGATATTTGGATTTGTACATTGGTAGATATAGATTTTTCTTTGAAGAGTACAGAATCTGCTAGAAAAGTTACATCTATTGGATTGATCAAGAGTCACTTTGATTGAAAGGTCTTCAAATTAGAAACATGTTTATAAGTGTTTGAGGTACCTAAGTTTGATTTTGGATTAATCTAGAAGCCTGACAAGCAAAGAGTATAAGGCCATTTGATTGTGGAGTGTATTTGGCACACATTTGGTACTCAAATTGAAGATCAAGATCAAACTTAAGATGAAGATGAAGTTTAAGTTCTAAAGATTATTGGAGATCATTTGGTAGAAAGAAAATGACTTGAACAAGTAGAAAGAAAAGGACTTAAAAAAGGTTTCATGGTTACTCATCAAGTTAAGTCCATCACTTGGATCAATCAATCAAATTATTTCGAGTGAGTATTAAGAATGGTTCTTTGGAGAGAGGTCACTTCTCTCTAGTGTAGGGGCTTGCCGTCTATGTGCAGGTAAACCAAATGTGGTATTTGGAAGACTAATATGGAAGTGGTGATCCGAGTGACATTTGAGATGCTTAGTTGAAGCAATCAAAAAGGTTGATCAAGAAAAACAAGCAACACCCAAAAAAGAGCTAGTCATAGCAATTCAAGTGATATTCTAAATAGTGTTCTCATGCAAGCATTGATAGATGATGAAGCAAGCCAACCACAACTCAAGATTGTGCACTTGATCATAAGTGGTTTTCAAATCATATGGGTGAAGAATGGACCTTATCTATGATAATTGGTCTTCACCAAGCTTATAAATTGGACTTCACATTGCTATTGGAGTGATGAATTAGAATCTATGTGACTATCCTCTTCTCCAACATAGCAAATGTATCATTGTAATGTGCATGATCATTTCATCCCTTACTAGTATGCGGTTAGTGCATATAGTACATGCTTATTAGGATCATGCATGACAAATAAAAATCTTTAAAAATTCATAGTCTACCACTATTACTTGAATAATTAGTTAAATCTAGTGGTAGTGTATGTGTTTGTTCATGAGCTAGTAAACCCAAGTACTTGATTTAATTTAGATTGCCAACAAGTGATAAATACAACCTCAATAAGATAACCTCCAAATAAGTGTGAAGAAGCTTAGAGATGGTTCAAACCGAACTTGGAAGCTTAGACAAATCAATTTAGTTTAAGTCATATTAGAGGCTCATGACAATGATAGTAACAAGAGTACAAGCACAAGACAACAATGCAAATGGATATCTAGTTTGGTTGTTTCAAGTGGTATCTAGACTCAAATATTTCATCATGAATTCACAAGTAGTGTCTAGATCAACTCATAAGTGATATCCTACAAGTGGTACTTATGAAGATAGCAAATGTTCAAGAAATATTTTTTATTGACAAATCAATCATACACGTGGTATCACATCTCTACACATGGTATCATTCATACAAGATGGTGGTTCCACAAGTGATCCTCAACTTTAAGTGGTCATCAAATGAAGAATGCATCCCTCACCAATAAGAACTCAAGTGGATGACCCATGCTATGACATAGGGGGAGGTGTTCCACCAATTGGTATCAAGGTTAAAGATCCTACATGAGGTGTCATTCCAACATATGTGGTGTTATCCATAAAAAATACAAGATTCAAGTGTCAACCATCTACCCCTAAGTGCAACCCTTTGTATCAAGAGATGCACACCTTTTATGAAAATTAATGACAAAGGGGGAGAGATTGGTATAAAAATATGAAAAATGCAAGAGGTATTAGGGAGAAGTTGGATTTGAACATGGATATGGATAAAGAGGTAGCAACATTGGAGAATGTGAGAGGATAAAAAATCTTAACAAGAGAATCACACAAGTAGGGGGAGGAAGCTCATGATCTTGTTTGATGGCATTTGATATATGCATATTCATGTGTTTGCTTGCATTTGCATAAGTTTTTTTAATTTTGGTATGCATGCTTGTGTGGTGTATGCTAGTTGTAGAATTTGAATGATGAAATAAAAACTAGCATGCATAGGATGGTAGCTAGACTCGTATTTCTACACGTGGTACTAGAACCTTGCTTATAATGTTGATCTCACGAGGTTTCTAGTGTTTATGTTGTCTAGCTACTCATGATGCTAAGGATGGTGTTAAAAGTGCAACTTCGATTGGTATCACGCTTCAAAGGTTATTCTATACATCTTAGCATTACTTAGTAGTGGTAACACTCCCACAAATTTTATATTTATGCATGTGTGCAAACTTAAAACCAAACCATTTGAGCACACATGTAGGGGAAGTTATCACTACCAAGTCGGATTTTATGGTGCTTATCCAAATCTTGACATAGAGCTTAAATGTTGGATAAGTAGCATAAAATCCAAACCAAGTTAGCAATTTACACTTGTGTGAAGTGCTAGCTTAAAATGAGCTTAATTTCTATATCTTGGAGAGTTGTCATCAATTACCAAAAAGAAGGAGATTTAAAGGTTACACTTGTGTTAAGTAACGGCGGTGTTGCGGATCCCTAATCCGGTTCCCTTCTCTCCCCGCAGCAGATGAGACGTGAGGAACTTGTAGATGATCTCCCGTATCCCTTTCAACAGCACACCAGATAAATACAGAGGAGAGCAAAAATTGTGGAACTCGTATATCTTATTTATTATAGATAAGTATATGTTTCTTCATATAGTTTTTACCCTTCGAGAATATATTTGGTATGAGCCCATAATTATCCTAGGTTATGGTTTCCAACAGGCTGAATGTTGGACTCCTGAATCCTGTGGAGTGCCGAAGGCCGAACGTCGGTTCTTTACTTTCTTTTTGAGGCCTCTTTCTTTTTCCACGCGAGCACTGAGCAGAGACCATGACGGTGACGGCGCGACCTAGACCATGAGACGGAGAGTCGCGCCTCGGGCCGAGCCGCAGACACGGCGACGGCCACCAGTGAGACGAGCTCACCAGAGATGACGCTGCAGGCTCGACGACGTTCGACGCCACGACGACAACATCTTGGCTCTTGCAATTTGCGATCAACCGATTGTCAATCAGTTCAGCAGTTGAGCAGTTGCTCGGTGGCTCAATCAGCGGAGCCATGTCATCGGAGCCTCGTGCACGTACACCCACTGCGGCAGAGGAGCTCGTGGCCGACCTGGCATCCGCCGCCGCCCATCCCACCCCCAGCAAGAAGCAGCTGAAGAAGGATGCAAGGAGGGCCGAGAAAGCGGCGGCGGCGCAGCGCCAGAGACAGCAGCACGTGCATGCGCAGGCCGAGGCCAAGCAGGCAGAGGACTTCTTGGCGGGCAACTATGGCGACGTCCCCGCGGAGGAGACGCAGTCGAAGGCCGTCACCGACCGCTCGTGGACGCGTGTCCGCGACCTCGGCGCCGCCGAGCTGCGGGACCGCTCCGTGCTGGTCCTCGGGTTCGTGCAGTCTACCCGCTCCTTCTCCAGGATGACCTTCCTCGTGCTCCGCTAGGGCATGGCCACCATGCAGTGCGTGATCGTCGCCGGCGTCGGCGTCAGCCAGCGGATGGTGCAGTTCACCGCCGCGTTCAGCATCGAGTCCTGCGTCCACGTCGAGGGCGTCGTCTCCCTCCCCGAGGTGCCGATCGCGACCACCACACAGCAGGTTCGTTCGTTCTACCCACTATCAATTACTACCTCAGTCAAAAAAAAACCTCACTCTTTGTTTAGATGAAGGATTTTAAGTTTATAATAAAATCTCCTTCTCCTATAACTAAAAAGACTAAAAGCAAGACTATTTTTTGGTGCGACTTTTTTTTGGGTCGCTCCTCTCTTCCGGCCATGCGATACCCCGCGCGATAGAAAAAGAAGCTGTCATCCCTGCGATCCTCGCCTGCTTTGAAGGAAACAAATCGATCACCTGAGACCACATGCATGGAAGGAAACAATAATCATGCATGGAAGGAAACAATTGGCAAAGATCAAGCAAGACTCCTCCCTTTCGGCCATGCGATACCCCACGCGATAGAAAAAGAAACTGTCATCCCTGCGATCCCCGCCTGCTTTGAAGAAAACAAATCGATCACCTAAGGCCACATGCATGGAAGAAAACAATAATCATGTATGAAAGTAAACAATTGACAAAGATCAAGCAAGACGACTAATGAGGTTGACCCTTAATTTTAGTGTTTTCAGCATGCAGACCTAAAATTAAAAAGTGGCTGCTCCTTGATAACATCAGTGGTGCCAAATAAAAGATGTGCAAGTTATACATGGTGAGACTGGTGAACCTTCTTTAATTTTCTAAATGAATATTCCCACCATTCGTATATAGGTCCATTCCTCTACGTTTCTTCGTGCTCCAATTAGCATATAATATGAAAGTATTGTTGTGTTCATCACGACTTTCAGTTGACTACTCCCATTAGCATATACTTTCTCTGCTCCAAAATATAAGTCGTTATGGGATGTGTGCATGTCAAACTTTCTCAACTTTGACTAGGTTTGTAAAAAATACGTGCAACATTTAACAATCAATTGGTCGACTCCTGAGGCCACATGCATGTAAAAAATACCTGTATTATAATTGGTCGAAGTTAAAAAAGTAGACTTCTTGGAAAGCGAGAATGAATTCTATTTTGGGACAGAGGGAGTATATGAAAGCGGTGTTGAAAATATTTTAGCAATCAAGTTCGTCTCTATCTGATTGGTAACCTTAGACATCATAATGGCATCAAAAATTTCGACTCTCATGGACACCCTCATGGATCAGTGCAAAGCATCCCAATCCTACAGTATACACAAATGGCAACCTTAAAGATCATCTTAGACGTTCTGTCATTAGAGTATATGGTGCCGATTCATTTGATGCGGTTTCGAGACCAATTGGCTAGTTCCTCCTCACACAGTGGCACTATTCATCAACCAACCGCCTCTGAGATTTCTCTCTCACACAACCCGGCCGCTTCTGATGTTTTGATTTCTTTTTTTCGAGACAATTAACGAGGCCTATACGTGCAGACACATAAGTATGGTGGTGCAAGTGAGAAGCCAGCAGGAGTTGAGAGTTAGGAGGTATTTGGATCCCAGGACTAAACTTTAGTCCCTGTCACATTGAATTTTTAGATATCAATTAGGAGGACTAAATATGAGCTAATTATAAAACTAATTACATAAGTTGTGGCTAATTCGCTTGCCAGCGCCGTGTACAGGATGGTATGGAGATGTGGTGGAACTTATTCGTGGATTTGTTGGCGCACGAAAGAAATGGATATCGGAAATCTCTTCCTGCCGGTATAAAAAATGATCTTACCGCATCACGGAAAAATCTACACAGTAGAGTTTATGAGCCTGCGACGCCATGCTCTCTGTGACTGTGTAAATTTCATGAATTTAGCTTTTTGGATTAAATGTCACTTTAACGTCGGTCATATACTTTTACAGTATTGTTATCTTATCGTGCGATCCGTGTGTTTTTAGTATAAAAGTTTAGCTGTCTCGTAGCAACGCACGAGCACGAACCTATTTACATATATACTCGAACCTGTGTGTACATGATTATATGGAGATGCAGTTGAACTTATTCATGGATTTATTGGCGTATAAAAGAAATGGATATCGTAGAATTCTTTCTGTCGATATAAAATATTATCTTAGTCGTATCACTAAAAAGTCTATACAGCTGAGTTTGTGAGCTTACGACGTCGCGCTCTCCGTGACTGTGTTAATTTCACGAACTTTGCTTTTTGAATTAAATGTCACTTTGACGTCGGTATTTAATTTAACAGTATTGTTATCTTATCGTGCGATCCGTGTGTTTTTAGTACAAAAGATTTAGTTGTTCCATAGCAACACACGAGCACGCTACCTGGTCTGCATAAAGAACAACCACTGGAACATTTACGACACGAATAGTTAGCACTAGATTAGTAGTTGTTCCCTCCTTTGAAATCCACAGAGACTAACAAGTAGGAGTAACAACTAATTAAGCGCATGGGTTTTAATCCTTATTTGTGGTTGTTTGGCCGCCATATATTCAGGTTGAGATTCAAGTCAGCAAGATCTATTGCATCAACAGGGCAACCTCGATGCTTCCATTTAGCATTGAGGATGCAGCACGGAGTGAGGCCGAACAAGTACGTATAGTTATGTCTTATAGAAACTATACTAACGTGATTACTATGTTTTCTTCGAACTGTACTGAAGTTCAAGGGAGACTAACTGAATACCTTTTTTGCTATGCATGATTGAAGGCTGTTCATGTTGGGCAAGACACCTGCTTGAATGCTAGGGCTCTTCATTTGCGATTACTCTTCAACCAAGCAGGATTCCGGATCAAGACTCAAGTGAAAAACGTGAGTGTTCGATATTATAGTTTATTTCTGTCAACTGTTGATTTCTTATCATCTATATATGTAGTAAATAGTAGTAATAGTCTAACAGAATGTGCAGTGCCAAGCCACATACTCACATTTGCATGTAGCCCATTAGCTAGCTAGCTAGCTAGCTTAGCAGCACTCTGTACTTTTTTTCATTGACTAAAAAGTAAAAAAAAAAAATTGGATCAAAGAGTTAGTTTTCTTTGGCATACAATGTTCCTTTTATTGATTCATATCTATAATTATGTTCTGAACATTGCGCAGAAATTCAGAGAGTTTCTGTCGTCAAAGGACTTCGTCGAGATCGAAACGCCAAAACTGATGGCCGGCTCCAGCGAGGGAGGTGCGGCCGTGTTCAAGCTGCTGTACCACGGACAGCCTGCCTGCTTAGCGCAGTCTCCTCAGCTACACAAGCAGATGGCCATCTGCGGCGGGTTCGAACGCGTATTCGAGGTTGGCCCTGTGTTCAGAGCAGAAACCTCCAGGACGCCCAGGCATCTCTGTGAGTTCACTGGGCTTGACGCTGAGATGGAGATCATGGAGCACTATTTCGAAGTAAGGTGAACCAAAACGTGAATAATGCTGGTATTCCATTTCATTTGGTTTGGTTTAATCCACTGTAGTAGCAGTAGTGATGGCTAATGGCTAATTATCTGTTGTGTTACCAGGTCTGCGATGTCATAGCTGGCTTGTTTGTGTCAATATTTAGACATTTGAATGAAAACTGCAAGGAGGAACTTGGCGTCATAAACAAGCAGCGTCCGTTTGAACCTCTGAAGGTAAAACAACCTTGCTTATTTATTTTGTGGTACTACTCTACTAATTGCAGACTGAACCTCGAGCGCAGCTGGTTCTTCCGAAAACCACTAGTCGCGGGGCCACAGGTCAGCCTAACAGCATGTTAGGCGCGTGGTGCAAATGGCGGCATGAGCTTCGAGGGAGGCGGGCCTACTAAGTGGCGCGTCCAAAACATTGGAACGGGTGGCGCGGGACAACAGGTGCGAGGGCGTGCTGACGTCAGGTGGGGCTAGGATGTCATCGGCTCTGAGAAAACACAAATCGCATGAACGGTGGAGATGGATCCGCGTGGCCTCCGATCCAGCCGTTTAGGATGTCCACGTCAGCGATCCATGGTGAGCTGGTCTTCATGCACAAGTGCCAAGGCAAGACGGGGCCAGCTGCATGCGCGGATGCGTGCGTTCACTGGAGGGGCAGCGTGGTTATAGGGAAGCAGGACGGATCTAGGTGTGGTTTCGATCTCTGTGACTATTTGTGTGGCAACAGGAGGGTGTGGCCGCTGGTTTTGTGCCATGTTTGGCTGTTTTGCCGAAACCATGGGCGGCACTAGTGGTATACTACTTGTCATCGGGAATGAGGTGAGGTGGGGCCAGCGCTGCAGTTGATGTCATCATCGGCGCGGGAAACAGGCGCACACAGCCGTGTGTCCGCCTTTGTAAATTTGTTTTAGGAGGCGGTTAATTTTTTTTATTTAGCCGCCCCTACAAATGAACACAGCAGGGGCGACTGGTAATAGCCGCCTCTACATACCAGCCGCCTCCTACAAATCGACGTATTTATAGAGGCGGCTCGTATTATCAGCCGCCCATACTGTGCTATTTATAGGAACGGCTGCTATGCTGGAGTCCGAGCACGTCACTGCAGGGCTGCTCTAATGTCAGTCGCCCTTAAAAAAAGCTCTGTTGCTACGAACTGTTTTTGACGTAGTGTCTTGCAGAATGTAGTCTTGCTTTGTATTGTACTGTATATATACTAACGACATTGATGGTTTATCTAATTGACAGGACGCTGTAACAGAACTCGAGCCTATGGGAGACCTGACTACTGAAGCTGAGAAAGTGCTTGGTCGGCTTGTCAAGGAAAAGTACGTAATAAACATAGTATATCCCCATATATTACTCGGTCCAAAAAGAATGCAGTTTTTCAAGGAGCATCGATTTTTTTTAATTTTTTTTATCAAATCTATGTAAAAAAATACTAACATATAATATCATTGATTAATTATGGAATCTGAAAGCTTAACAACTGCTTTATTTTTGTGTGATGGTGTAGGTACGGCACAGACTTCTACATCCTCCACCGGTATCCTTTGGCCGTGCGCCCGTTCTACATCATGCCTTGCCCTGACAAAACCCGGCTTACAGCAATTCTTTCGATGTCTTCATTCGAGGTAATTATATATATTAACTATTAAGCATGCGTTTTACCAGCACCGCGGAGTGCTGCTGCTGCTGCTGCTGGCACGTGGATTATTTCTTCTGCTTGGCTGGCTGGTGTGAGAGAAAAACAATGAAAATTTATGATGTTTACAACGACAGACCTGCATTACATGCATTACATAGGCCAGGAAATAATCTCCGGAGCTCAAAGAATACATTCGCGGGAGATGTTGGCGAGACGCGCTGAGGAGTGTGGAATCGACATCAACACTATCTCGGCGACATCAACACTATCTCGGCGTACATGGAATCATTCAGGTACTTCTCCAAATGTTTGTTCCTGCATGCATGCTGTCAACACTCGTGCATTTCCAAACTTCATCTCGTGATATACCCCATATTTTCCCTAGTCAGCTAGGGTTCTTCCTCATGTTGGTTTGGATGTTGACTTGTTATATTGTAGCCATGGCGCACCTCCACATGGTGGTTTCGGGGTGGGGTTGGAGAGGGTGACGGCGCTCTTCTGCGGCCTCAACAACATCAAGGAGATGTCCATGTTCCCCCGTGACCCGCACAGGCTCTCCCCATGATAAACCAGCAGCCGTGAGGACAAAACTTCTTTATAATGCATTGCTGTGTTATCGTATATTCTTACGCATGACCTCATCTATATAGCTTTCACCTTAACAGGTGGCATATGCAATGCATATTGTGTTGACAGTAAAATATGATCGAGGGGTTAAAGATGGTAAAAAGAAAAGAAAATCAAATTCAAATGCAATTAAAAAGAATCAAATTCGACGCCAAATATGCAAAATCCAAAGAAAAGCGGTCGAGGCTAGTTTGGCAAGATGGATAAAAAGAAAAACCAACAAAATTTCAGTTTTGCCGACGTTGTGATCGGATGTGGCCTAGCACTCAATGACACCGGGTTTATCTTTGGTTCGGGTAATAATGTGCCCTATGTCGGTTTGAGTCGGTCGGTGTCTTTATTCACGAGCAAATGTGTGCTCAAGTTCTGATGGAGTTACAAACGAGAAGGAGAAAGATGGGGTGTACAAGAAGAAAAGAGTGACGGGAGGTCCGAGTGCTAAGAGCGTTGCTTGTGGTTTGCAGTGGTTACATTATTTTGTCTGGTGAACCGATCCTCTGTTTGAGAGAGAGCACATTTTTATAGATGAAGGGATGGCCTTACAAGTGATAGGGAGCAGGTTACGTATACTAATCGGGTTGAAGATGATGGCCAGTTTTGTTTAATATCAGAGGAGATTTTGAGATCTTTTTTTTTGTTAGAAACTCACCCCATTTCATGTTGAAACCAGGTATGTAGGGGTTTTATCATGTTTGTGGTGTGTAAAATGAAAGTTGAAACTTGTTGATGCCCGTGAGGCATGTGGAGGTGCCTTACCGTTTATCCGGTATGGGAGTTGATGGCGCCCACAACGAGAAAATAAAGGCGCCTACAACTGCATTTGGTTCTATCATATATATATATATATATATATATATATATATATATATATATATATATATATATATATATATGAGGTTGGTCATAACTCGATTGATTTGGAGAAGAGCTATAGCGAGGTTCTGCATCTCAATCGGAGAATCGGAAGTGGGAAAACCTTTCTACGCCCAGAGGCGCGGAGTTAACCCTTTCTTCAACCTCAAGCGTTCCTTTCCAACTCCCTTCCTTGTTGGATCACCCTTACATCCTATCATTTAGGTATTTGGGCGTCTCATGAGTTGTGCGTCGTTGGCACGTTTTAGGTGAGCCTTTGTTGGAAAGCGGTACATGAGGGATCCTTTATGAACATCCGCCCATGCCTGTGCATGCCTGCGAGGTTTTGCTTAATTGACCTAGGCAGTTTTTCTAGGGAGGTGATTTTGAGATTTTTTTGTTAGAAACTCACCCGATTTCATGAGAAACATGTAAATTACGTAAGTTGAAATATAGTTCCTCGCTATATATATTGATTAAAACCAATCTACTATTTTTAACCCTTTCTTCAACCTCAAGCTCTTCCAACTCCTTCCTCGTTGTCGGTCTCTCTCTCACGAGTTGTCTTTGGCATTTTAGGTGGCCTCTTGCCAATCCTAGAACATTCTCTTTGTGTGCCTCCCGATGGTCTTTTTTGGGAGAGCGTTTGTGGGTGTTTGGACCAAGAATAAGTGTAAAATAAGTCTGTGACCCCCTAGTATGTCTTGTTGTTTAGACCTACCTTATCTCGTGTATCAGCCATATGAAGCATACAATCAGTCATGCACTTACCGGTGTGTACTGGAAATTTAGGTCATCATCAAGCTCATGTTTGGTGCATGGGGCTTGCAAAAAACTGTACTTAATGACCCAAATCGTTTAAAAAACACTACTACAACAATCTTTACCGTGGCGGGCAAAAACTGTTAACCGAAGCGGTTGAAAGGTCACGGTTAATCGTGGCCTTAACCAAGGCGGTTGTTCTGCTCGCCTCGGTAAATCGAATAAAAAAACAAAAAAAAAGGAAAACCCGTGGATAAGCTCGGTGAGCCCATCAACGGGCCCACTGAGCCCATCCACCCACCGCCGCTTCGCTCGCCGGATCTGCGCCACCACCGATCCCCGCTGCCGCACCCGCTTGCCAGATCCAGGCTCGTCCTCGTCGGATCGGGCTTCTCCTCGCCGGATCTGGTGGTGGCCACTCGGATCTGGGCTCGTCCTCACCGGATCGAGCTCATCCTCGCCGGATTTGGTGGTGGCCTCCACCATGTGGTTCATGCGGCCTCCAGCAGCACGCCGGAGGAGAGAAGGTGAAGGGGACCGCGCCCCCGAGTCCCGCCACCGTTGGAGCTCGACGGGAGGCCGCGCCACCAAGCCACGCCACCGTGCCTCCGCTGGGGGGGACAGGTCCCACGCCGCCCGCCGGCGAGGAGGAGGAGGGGACGGGCCCAGTGATCGCGACGCTGGAGGAGGGCACGGGCACAGGGCCCCCTGAACCCCACCGCCCTAGGGTGCGCCGCCATGGCCAGAGAGAGGTGCGACGACGTCGCGGCGCCCTTGGGAGAGGGAGGTCCCGTCACCGCATGGGGGAGAGGGAGGGGCGGCGTGGGGGAGAGACGGAGAGGCTCGGAGGAGAGGGACGGTGCGGCGCGGGGTAGAGACGGAGTCACGAGAGAGGGAGGGGGCGGCGGAGAGAGGAGAGAGGGAGAGAGAGACTGTGTGTTTAGGGTTTCTAAGTTTCATTTATATATTGAAGAGGGTAGTGGGCTGGTGGGCTAGCGGGCTGGGCCTGATTTACCGAGGTAGTTGAATTAGAATGCCCACCTCGGTTAATAATTTACCGAGGCAGTTTTTTTTTATAGTGCCCGTCTCAGTTTAGCATTAACCGAGGCGGTTGCTGTCCCTGCCTTGCCTCGAATAACCGAGGCGGCCAACCAGGCCATCCGCCTCGAAGCCTCAAAGTGAAACGCTGTGCAAAATATTTTCTATAGTAGTGAAGGGGTATGGCGGAGGGAATTGTCGCTACAAAAATTGAATCCAAACTCCTGAACCTTTTTTTTAAGATCTGGTTATCGGGCTTTGATTGATAATGAGTTAGCATGCATTTATTGAAACTCTAGAAATTAGTATAATTTTACAAGAGGTCAAAGTTAATAGCTACGACAAAAGGAAAGTGAATTATATAATTTAAAAATTAAAAACGAAAGTGGCCCGAAAAACGTCATCGTCGTCGATAGGGGAATTTCACACGTGATGAACACCATATGCATGATGCATGGTTCCAGAAACGTCGACTACGTACGTCGATGGAACCCCATCAACCACAACCACCACTAGCTAGCTAAGTACGTTGCGTGCTCGCTACTCCCCCATCAACAAGCAAACCCAAAACCCAAGCAAACGTAGGTAGCAGTAGCACGGTGCTGCACATCTCTTCGTCGATGTTTGCTTGTTTCGGTCTGTTTCTGTGTCGCCGATGGTTTCCTCTCGAGCTGGAGTGCTGGACTCACCAGTCACCACTCACTACACGAGTTCACACGAGTCCGTGCCCGTCTTGCATTGTCCTGGCAACCAGCGTCTACGTATGTGTCGCGAGTCGCGTACGTGCTCACGTACGTTCCCCTAGTGCCGGCCGGACACGTGGCGACTTTACTTGTTTGTTAATCCGACTTGGACAATGCAACGTACTAGTAGTCCAAGTCTAGTGATGATCATCAGTTCCCTCGTATCTCGTCAGTTATTTCTTTCTTATTTTCTTTGTTCTTTGCTATAATTTTTTTTTCTAAATGCATAACTTTTGATAAGGACCTAGACATATATTATGCTTATAGGTTACGTATGTGAGCATACCCAACAGCGGCATCTGGAACATGCAGAGCCACGTGCCATATTTGAAGTTTTTTAAACGCAACCATAGGCCGAAGTTCACTCAACCAGATTCAATATTCATTAACGGGCCGGGTTTGACGCCTGACATACTTGATCCGCAAACCTCATGAGGATAAGCTGTCCCACGTGAGTTAGATAGAGGGAGTAGTTTGTTATAGAGCATTATAATAGCTTATTGTATGGTAACGGGATGCGTTGTGGTTCGGTAATTTTTTCAATAAATATGTCGTGAGTCCCAAATCATGTTGGAATCGACGATGCTTTGAACTTGTACATATTGTTGATGGCATAATTTGGTTGGCTGGATTTGTTGCTAAATTCGGTTTCATAGCTTATTTGCTTGTTAGCCGATGAAAGCCTAAAATATATCCACTGGCCCGGTTAATTTGTGAACAAGATAAATCGGTCATTAACAAGTGTTTTGATTAATCTATTAGCTACTCAAGCAGCAGGATTTATGAGGATTAGAAGGATGTGGAGTTCTTCAGAATTAGCACTAGCTGGTGACTTGGCGTTGGCATGTCAAGCTGTGCGGGCAAATGACATAGAGATTCGGCGCCACTTTGATGCATGCTGCTTGAGTTCACGTATGGAGGGAGCCACAGAAGAAACTCGGAACTGGAGATCAGAGAATCCCGTTCGACTGGTATTAAAGCCGGCTGATAAGCCGGCTGAAGCTGATTTGTTGTGAGAGAAAAATACTGTAAATTCTAACTGATAAGCCAGCTGATAAGTTGAAGCGAACAGGCGCTACTCAATTGGCTGGACGGAGGGGGTATTTTGGTTTGTCTCAGGTGCAAGTGCAAGGCCAACAAACTGGAGAATTAAAAGGAATATTTTATTAGGTTTTATTATGTACAAGGGATAATTAAACGTACATTTACAGGACTCTTGCTGTAGACCAGGCACCCCTGTATATACTTTGTATGGGGCACGGCGGATTGATCCATACAATCGACACGAAACAAATCTATTATTATCATTCTTTTACTTTTCTTCTACTTTTTCGCATCTAGATTAGTAGTAATGTTTTGCTAGTTTTCCGCAAATAAGTCGCGTGCTCCGGCGTCATTGGAGTATCATCCTTTGCTGTTCTTGCTCGTAAAGCAGCCGGTGATTCTTCACCGTAAACGAAGAAGTTACCTCTTTACTAGTTTTCTCGAAAAATAGTCATGTGCCCTTCTACCAAAGTGAGGCAATCTATACATTGGCGACTCCTGTGTTTATTTTCGGCATCAACACATATAAGGCCGAATGACCATGTCAAGCGTTTCAATTAGACCTGGGATCCCGCACTGTGCCTTCACAGGTGGCTCTGACTCGTGTATGGGAACCGAAGAGAGTGAAGAGCTAAAGAAACACACCATTTTTTTTTTTGAAATAACCACCATATTTTAATTTATCTTAGGATCGGACTCCGTACTCCGTAGCGATCTAGACATGGTACTCTTAACTCACGTGGGCACGGAGAGAGTGGAGGACTACCTATAGTGTAAGAGTTTGTTTGGTAGAGGTCCTTTTATTTACCATTATGGTTAAAATGATTTTCCAGGATAAATTGAGTAGGAAGCGATTATAGGGAGAAGTGGGTTAGAAAAAGGCTAGTTTTTTCAGCACTAATCTTTTAATTCGTTTGAACAGTTTACAGATTTTTTTTAAGAAAAAAAAACTGTTTGTGAGAGGTGCTCCGGCGAGAGCTTTGCGATAGAGACGCTTGCCGAAAGTGGGTTACAGTAGCTTCCCGGCGAGCGTCGCTCGCCAGCACAGGGCAGAGACAGAGGCAGAGCACAGACGGCAGACGCCCTGGAGTCTGGAGAAGTCTGCCACCGGCCCTCCACATCGGCACTCATCCCTTCCAGTTCCAGGCTCGAGACTTTTCACTGCGTGCCTTTATAAAAGATCGTAGTTTTCTTTGTGCCCCTGGAAAAATTTAGCGGTCTTCAGCGCCGCCACTACTTCAACTTTTTCGGATCCTCTATGCCACTTCTGTTAGTTCAGCTCTAACGCCGTCGAACTACAGGTGTGAAAAGACGAAAATGCCCTTAAGTTCAAATATGTTATTAATTTTTTTTAGCATCTTAACGATTTCAAATGAAAAAACTCAAAACTAGAAAGTTGTAGATCTCGTCGAGATCTATAATTTTCATATAAAAATTATTTTCATTTAATTCTGTAAAAAAAATATGATGATTTTTCTAAGATATATTAATCATATCAAATCATATTTTTGTGTGGAATTAAATGAAAATAATTTTTTTATATGAAAATTATATATATATCGACGAGATCTACAACTTTCTAGTTTTAAGTTTTTCATTTGAAGTTAAGATGCTCAAAAAAATTAATAACATATTTGAACTTAAGATATTTTCGCTCTTCTTCACACACTTAGGCATTTGACGGCACGTTAGAACTCGAATCGACGGAAGTGTGGTAATGTCAAGCGTTTGGGCGACCCCGCTAAATTTTTCTAAAGTAAAGGATTACGATCTTTTATAATAAAGACATTTTAAAAGTCTCTCCAGGCTTCCAGCGGGGCACCAAACAGGACGGCAGGACCGCAGGAGCGAGGGTCGCCGTCATGGCGATGCCCAAGTTGGTCACGGAACCTAGGACGCGCACGCAGAGGATTCGCGGTTTGGTTCCAGTCGCATTGTTGCAACACCACGTGGAGTACGGGTAGGGTAACTTTTTGTTTGACAGAGATGGCGGACATGACAGGCATGCCCCTGCTCGTGCATGCATGTGTTTTTTTGTTTGTCTCCATGAGGCAGTCACGACTTGCAGCCTAGCCTGTTCGGTTGGCGGTTCATTTCGTCGCTGGTTCGTAAAAAAATTACTGTTGATTGATTTGTGTGTGAAAAAAATACTATTCTGATTAAAAATTTACTATTGTTTACGATAAGTCATAGCCAAACGATCAGACTGTTGACTCACGCTGCAGTGAGCAGTGTGCAAATCCTGCTCCGCGCGGCTCGTGAAACGAGGGGGAGGCGGACGCTGCGCTAGCCTAGCCGGTTTCCTCGGCGCCCGCCAACGGCCAAACCAAGGCAGCCAGCCACACGCACATACGGCCTGTTCGGGAGGCCATATCGTATCGTGAATTATTTACTGCTGACTAATTTAGTGTGAGAGAAAAATACTATTCCCAACTAAAAATTTACGATTATTTACGAGCGAGCGAACAGGCTGACATCCACGGCGCCCTCTCCTCTCCTCTCCATCCAGTCTTCTTCTCTCCGCTTCAGGCGCCGCGCCCGCCACCGCATCCTCTTTTTCCTCCACCGGCCTGTCCGCGCGCGCCGTCTCGCACGAGCCCGGGCACGGCGGGGCGTGGCGTCCCTTTCTTTTTTTTTTCCAACGGAGGCCGCCCGCCAGCCAGCGCTGCCTTAAATTTTGGGGAAACCCATCCATCCGTCCGTCCATCACGGTCGCGGGTGCCAATCACCCGGCGGAGGACCACCCGTCTCGTTCGTTCCTTCGGTGCCGCGCGTGCTGTCCATCCGCCCGTGCGCGCGGAGGACGACCGATCGAGTCGACCAACCCCGGCCCTCGGATGGTCGCCGCCGCTCCAGGCACGTACAGCGACGACAACGGCGGCAGGTCCATGGAGTTCTGGCCGGAGTTCCTGGCGACCAGCGGCGGGCGCGAGTTCGTGGCCGGCGGGGTGGGCGGCATGGCGGGCGTGCTGGCGGGCCACCCGCTCGACACGCTCCGCATCCGCCTGCAGCAGCCGCCGCCTCCGCCCGCCGGCGGCCTCGCCCACGCTCCGCGCCGCCGCGACACGACAGCGCAACCCTCCGCCGCGCGCCTCCTCCGCGGCATCCTCCGCGCCGAGGGCCCCTCCGCGCTCTACCGCGGCATGGCCGCGCCCCTCGCCTCCGTCGCCTTCCAGGTGAGTCAGCTCTCCTCTGCTCTGCAGTCTGCACCACCGCGTCTCCGGCTTCCCTCCCTTGTCACTCCACCTCATGCCACGGCGGTCCGGACGGACGGATCACGGGTCCCAGGAGTCCAGGACCTCGGACGCCGTGGATTCTTTCGATACGTCTTCCTTTTGGTTCTTTTTGTTTGTCTCCACTAATTACCTACTTTTATTTTTTTAGCAAAAGTCGATCGCTTTCAAAGATACAATTTTTATTTGCTCAACATAGACAAGCATGCGCCACACCCACTCCCTGCCGATCGAGTTTAGCCATCGGGGGACGGCACTAGTTATCGTCTTTTAGTCTCACTCACTCAAAAAGATCATTCACCTTGCTTGTCGCGTTTGAACTCTTGTTGCAGCGCTACCTTTTCTTGCCTTGTCTGCCTTTGCGTTGCCTTACCATGTTTCCCGTAAGATCGCACTAGGAAACACAGCCAGCCAGCTTGTGGCCATCAGTTTCAGAAGTAGACGTGACGAAATGCTCATCTTGATCACCCATCACCATTCACCAAAACATGATGAATGGGGGTTGTTTCGCAGTTGGCAATCTGGGCACAACATCTTTGGGCTGAATCTCTGACGGAATGCTGCACGCAATGGTCCTCTCACTCACATGGTATGCTTCAGCTTCAATGCACTGTTGCTCTGTGCCCGCCCGCTGCTTCTGGAGCTTCACATGGTGTGCCTCTGCTTCCTTGTGCCCACCAGTCACCAACAAAGCCAGTGACGTACTAACGTACGTTGATGCACATGCCCATGCGCTCGTGTTCCTGCCGACCGTTGCGTAAATATGTACTACTGCCTCTGAACCCCTAACGTCGGCCAAGTCTTCATATCTTACAAACGCCTAACGCCTGACGCCTGACGCCTAACGTTGGCAAACTCATAATTCTGCTCTCAAAGGGTGCTGGATTAGACAGGGGATACTGAATTTGATTGAAAAATAGATAAAAATTAAGTTTTAGATTTTTTTCCCTCTTAGGATTAGGATTACTTTTTAGGTGGCAGCACCGGCACTTCCTCCGCCCCCTGCTTGTGCTAGCTGACCTGACAATTCCTTGTTTGCGAGGGGCTACATTGCCGGTGTTTTCTTAGAAATGCATTTCGCTTCCGGCTACGTCACATTCAGATTTTCAGCAAAGGCACCTCTTTCCCTCCGGAAAAAAACGCAAAGGTAGGTACAAGGAAAGGATCTAACCTGAATCCAATGCACCCACAACATCATATGAATGAATAGCCAGCCATCCAAAGTTTGGTACAGTGCAACAAATTTGTACTACCCATCAACTTCACTGCACATAGCCATGGCCATGGCCATGCGTTCGCACAAGTCACCAAACGTGGTGTTACGAGCTGCAATGCAATACCATGCTCTGTGTCGTGTCATGACAACTGGCGAGAATGCTCGCTGCTGCTGCCTGTCTGCAGAACGCGATGGTGTTCCAGGTGTACGCGATCCTGTCGCGGTCGCTGGACCCGGAGAGCTCGGCCACCTCCGAGCCGCCCTCCTACGCGAGCGTGGCGCTGGCCGGCGTCGGCACGGGGGCGCTGCAGACGCTGATCCTGTCCCCGGTCGAGCTGGTCAAGATCCGGTTGCAGCTGGAGGCGGCGGGGCACAAGCACGGCCGCCACCGCCGCGGCCCCGTGGAGATGGCCCGGGACATCCTCCGGCGGGAGGGTCTCCGCGGCGTGTACCGCGGGCTCGCGGTGACCGCGCTCCGCGACGCGCCGGCGCACGGCGTCTACTTCTGGACGTACGAGCGCGCCCGGGAGCGGCTGCACCCGGGGTGCCGCCGGCAGGGCGCTGACGGTGACGGGGACGAGGGCCTGGGCACCATGCTCGTGTCGGGCGGCCTGGCGGGCGTCGCTAGCTGGGTGTGCTGCTACCCGCTGGACGTGGTCAAGTCCCGGCTGCAGGCGCAGGGCGCGGGGTCGGTGCCCAGGTACCGCGGCGTCGTCGACTGCTTCCGGAGGAGCGTCCGGGAGGAAGGCCTCCCCGTGCTGTGGCGCGGCCTCGGCACCGCCGTCGCCCGCGCGTTCGTCGTCAACGGCGCCATCTTCTCCGCCTACGAGCTGGCTCTGCGGTTCCTGGCCAGCGGCAGCGGCCCCAGGCTGGTCATGGAGGAGAACTGAGCTCAAGACTGAACCGTGTGATGTGCCAGATTCTGCACAGTTCGTTCGTGCAACAGTACCCTACCCCATTTGTGAGATGAGATTGGACCGTGTTGTACATAGGGTAAGTATTCATTGGGATTTGGGAGTGGTTGGGGTGGAGTCTCATGCCATGGCAATGAGATGAGATTCGTAGAGTACCGTAGCTGCAAGCTTCATACAGATTGAAGCATGCGTCTTGATGATGATGGCGATCAATTCCCCCGACATTTGGGGAGATACAATGTGCAGTGCCTACATTGCTATATGTATTGATAAACCATTCATGGAAAACATCAGAATTCTGCTAGTCAGTTGCTTTCAATCAGAGCAAGGAGGAGGCTGTGTTCACTCATTATTTTGTTTTCTTTCTTTTTTAAAAATTGTTACTTTCAGCTTCAGTGGAAGAGGCAAAAATGGACTAGCTTTTCTGTGTAGCAACAGAGGATATGATCATGTGAATACCTCGTTTGGTACGGTTCCAAACAAACACTTGCAGGATTCATAGAGTACCATAGCTGCAAGATTCATATACAAATTGAAGCATGCGTCTTGACGATGGCGATCAGTTCCTCCCGATATTTAGGGAAATAGTACAACGTAGGAGTACATACATTGGTGACTTGCGTATTTCGTTTCAAAAAAAAACTAAGTCTTTTGGGTATTTGAGAGAAAAAAAAGAAGAAAAAATCAGAACTCTGCTCGTCAGTTGAGCAAGGAAGAGGCTGTGATCAGCCATTTATTTCTTTTTTAAAACGGTTGCTTTCGGTCTGCAACTACAGTGTCAGTGCTAGAGGCAAAATGGACTAGCTTTTCTTGCGGCAACTGTGGATATGAAATTTTACCAAACCGAGGATATGAAGGGCGTCTCTGTGGAGCTCCCGATGGCTCCGGCTCCGTCACTGCCGAGCCTCCAACCGCGGGCTCCTTCAGCTCCTGTTTAGTGCGCAGCTGAGGCGGAGCCTTTCCAGCACCGAAAACAGTAATAAACGGTGTGTTTAGTTTCCTGACTAATTTCTAGCCTGGCTAGAATCCAGCCTGGATAGCCTTAGTCTGGTCCTACCAAGCTAATCCCTGATTGTTTGGTTATCTATACTATGTTAGCTTGGCTAGCCCCTGGTGTGTTTGGTTGCTTGGTTTGTTTTGATACAGTCAGCTCTTCTCTGAATTGGTAAGCTTACCCTTTAATACGATGCGGTTTTATAATGGTAAGTTTTTTCAGGATGGGAATGAATAAAAGGAGACAAATAATAGCAGCGAATACAATGAATAAATTCATACTGCTGCGCAATACATTGAGCATAAGCACATGACACAAGGTTCATGCAAGCTGGACACAGCAACTGAAACTGAAAGTAAGAACTGCAGCCTGCAAGTTTCTGCAAAACTGAATGCTCACAGCATTAGATTAAGGAACCTTACAGCAGAAAAATCTATACGAGATTTGGCCTTTGATCACAACAGATAGTATGAAATCAAAAAGAGCAGCACGTCACCAAGCACGCAAGGTAAACTCTGAAAATTGAGGCTTTTTACATGTACGTCATTAAAAAAGTTTATAATTACACACAAGCCATTAAAAAAATTGACCGCACACGAGTGCCATCGTTCTGAACTTCTTTGCTCTCCAAGCCATTCCGTCGGTGTTCTGTTCGTTTTTCACCGTTTGAGTGTCCTGACAAGTGGGTCCGGTCAGTCAAAACGTCCGTAATACTCCTCTCATCCCTATCCTCTCTCTCTCTCAAACTCGACCTCATCTCTCTTCTTCGCGCGCGCCCCCGGCGGAGCTCGCCCGTGCCCGTGCCCGTGCCCGCGCCCGCGGCGGCTATCCGGGGCCGAGCTCGCCCGCGCGCCCCCGCAGCGGCCGGGGCCGTGCTCGCCCGCGCCTGCGCCAGAGGCGGCTGTCCGGGGCGGAGCTCGCCCGCGCCCGTGGCGGCCGGGGCGGACCTCCTGGCGTCACCTCCACGCGCGCTGCGTCAGATCCACGGCGAGGACCGGCTCCGGCAGCTCCACGCGCACCGCCTCCTGGCTCTCGCCGCCGCCGTTGGGGACGAGGCCGCCTCCCTGCACGCCGGGGCCCTCGACATCGCTGTCGGGGCTCATGCCACTGCTGCAGCTCCCCGCCATCTCCTTCTTGGCCGCGGCGGCGCGGGAGGTGCGTCTACACCTCGCCCGAGCGCGTGGCTGACAAACGGACCCCACCGTAGGGTAAAATGGTCATTTCACCTGTCTGTTTGACACCGTTAAGTAGAAAAGCGGACGGAAAGAAGTTCAGAACGGTGGCATATGTGTGCGGCCAACTTTTTTAATGGCCTGTGTGTAATTTCAAACTTTTTTAATGGCACACGTGTAAAAGGCTCCTGAAAATTACAGTAGATTCAGACTGACAGAACATTTCAGACTCCGAAAATACACGGATTTTGGGATCACAGTTATTGAATGAAATAGAAGAATTTCAGACTGCAGTAATCACAACTGAGAAACAGGAAACAAGGCATCCGCAGATCACAATCAGTAGCAACTTCAACTGAATAGAAACCTGATAAACAGTCAGCTTTCATTCACCGCAAACTTCACCTGATAAACCATCCACAGAACCTAACCAAACATAGACAAGACACTAGTACTGCTACAAATCGACGAACTTGAGCAGAGAGGCCCCTTCATGTCGAAGCTGACCAGAGAGAAGCCTGTCATCCATTCTTGTCCTCCAGCAAGCTGCCACTTGCCACTCGAGCTCGATGAACGGAGCCGGGCGGATCCACCGTTGGAGCTCGCCCCCGCTGGCTACCACCACCACGCCACGTGCTTCCCGTCTTGCCGCATCTCACCCCAACTGGCAACTGCAGCTGCAGTGCGGCAGGCCGGCAGCTTTCGATTTGGCGGCGGCTCGCCCCCGCCGCAACGCAGACTGCCCCGCACCCCGACATCGCAGCAGCCCCGCTCCGCCGCCACCGTGCCGCACCCGCCGACCCGCCAGCCGACGCGTTGCGCCACTGAGGATCTGTTGGTGCCCGTGCCGGTGTCGGCGACGCGCCGCCCCACCGGCCTCTAGGCGCCGCCGAGCAGTGAGAGAGCGGACGAGCTGCGCTCCCAGGGACGAGGACGAGCTCGCCATGGGACGGCTGACGGATACGGTAGCGGAGGAGCAGCAGAGGTGAGGAGAACGACGGGGAGGAGGACGAGCAACCGGCGGAGGAGGTGAGGGAACCAGCACGTGGGCTGGCTCGCGCCTGGCTCTAGGAGAACGGTGGATTTGCGCTTTCAATCCTGGCCAGGTTAAAGGGACACGGATGATCAGTCCCAGCTCATTTTTAGGCAAACAAACAGAGTAAAATTAGCATAAGAAATTGGTCATCCAACCAAACACACCTATACAGTGCAGCACAAGACGTGCACAGTAAAGCCAGAGCTGTTAGGAGCAGAACCAAACACACTTCGAAGTTTTACCACTTGTGTGCAATCCTCCAGCGCCGCGCCACTGCTTACAAGATTCTATCCAATTACGGTAATTCAGGAAGCGGGCGTCCGAGCTGACGCCAGCCCGACGACTGTCTCTTATTTGCTCGTCCACTTGCCCCGTAAATTGTTTAAAAAAACTCACCTCACCGCAGCGCTGCAACAGCTTTTATGACCATGCTCCGTCGCGCTCTCCAACGTACCTCCCTCTCCATCGTGCCTCTGCTTCGCTGGCCGACATCTCCACCGTGCCCAAGCGCGGCGGTCGGTTTTCGCCTGCCGCAGCCTTCTCCACCAGACCCACCTTGGCCTTCTCCACCAGAGCGGCGAGCTCCGCGCCACCGGCAAGCTGAAGGGTCGAGATGGCGGACTAGAGGGGGGGTGAATAGCCTTTTCTAAAATTAATCGCGTCGACTAACCGATATAAATGCGGAATTAAAACAATCGGTCTAGCCAAGACTACATCCCTCTATATATGTTCACTAACACTTTGCAAAGATACTAATAAAGCAACTAAGGTGCCGGGCTAGCTAGAGCTCTCCTAAACAATTATAGGAGCAAGGTCACACAAACCTATGCCACTAGTACTTTAAGTAACAAGGAAGCTCCTACATATGCTAGTAAGCAAAAGTACAAAGCTAACTAAGCTCACTAGCAATGCTCAATAACAAAGTAACCAATACCTAATTAGAGAGCGCAAATACTTAGCTACACAAACTAAGCAATGTGACTAACAAGGTTACTAAAATCAAATTAGCCACGCAAGGGAGCTACTTCTATGCTACACAAGCAAAAAGGTAATTAGCTAACTACACAAGCTATCTAATTACAAGAGCAACTACACAAGCTTAATATGTATAAAAGTAATTGCAAGCTTGTGTAATGGGGATGCAAACCAACGGGAAGAACAAGGTTGACACGATGATTTTTCTCCCGAGGTTCACGTGTTTGCCAACACGCTAGTTCCCGTTGTGTCGACCGCTCACTTGGTGGTTCGACGGCTAATTAGCATCACCCGCTAAGCCCGCACGTCGGGCACCGCAAGAACCTACCCCTTGAGTGAGGGTAGCTCAATGACACGCTTTACTAAAGTTGCTCTTCGTGACTCCCGCGGGGCGAGCACAAGTACCCCTCACAAGCACTTCTCCGGAGCGCCGCACAAGTTTCTTGCGGGCTTCAACGGAGACCACCACCAAGCCGTTTAGGAGGTGGCAACCTCCAAGAGTAACAAGCACCACCGGCTTGCAACACGACCACCTAGTGCCACTCGATGCAACCTCACGATGCAATCGCACTAGAATCGCTCACTCACACAATCGAATGATCACTATCAAGTATATATGTGATGGAGGGCTCCCAAGCACTCACAAGCATGGACACTAAGTCCCTTGAGGTGCTCAAGATGACCATGGCCAAGGGCCACTTCTATTTATAGCCCCAAGGGCTAAACTAGCCGTTACCCCTTCATCGGGCAACGGTCGGGCCGATCGGACGCTCCGGTCGTGTTGACCGTCGCCGCAGAC